ATTATCTTCTTAATGTTGTCGTTAATTTAAAAAAAAAAAAAAAAACAAAATCTGTCAGTAATGATGAAGAGTTTTTGTGTTTTGCTGCAGTAAAATTAATTCACTCTCAATGACGGTATCGCGACCGTGAAATTATGTCAGCTTTGCGCGTAGTCGTCATATTTATGTACGGTTTCCACCGGACACGATTAATTTGATCTCATTTGCATCACACGCACACACACCATGCGCGTATTTGTTGATTTCTAGAAATCGACGGGATATGCGTGACATACGTATGTTTATTTTCCAACAAGCTATCTTCTTAATGAAGTTTAATGACTTCACAACGAGCGTGAGATTTACACTTAAGGAAGGTGGTGCAGGATGACTCACACGGTGAGTCTTTACATGGTGTTCATTTCAGGAGCCCGACTGATGTCATCATCGGCAATGTAATCTCTTTTTGTGCTCGAATCAATATTAAATTAATATTTATTAAATTTAATTTAACCGCGACAACTTGTGTTTTACTTTCGAAGAGGTTGGAGCTCAGAGAGCGGCTCCGTTCTTCTGTTATCTCACCGTCTCGCGTAAAAAACGGGAGTAAAAGCAAATAGATCTCTTTCTCTCGGTTTCTCTCGGCGGTATCCGCTTATTGACAACAATAAACAAAAATCCGTCGGCGAGCTATTAATTATAACAAGGTATAAAAGCAGCATTCTCGTTCAGAATTCTTCTTTCGCTGGTTCTTTCGATTGACGTCAGGCGGAGCATCTAAAAAATTTCAATGCGCGTGGCATGACCGAAAAAGTAACTGGCAGATATGATGTTCAATGGTAAACAAAATTAGACGTCTGCGACTTATGATGGAATAGTACCCAACGGTACGTTATTTTTGCTGCACAGTCAGTCTTTTAATAGAATTCATCCGCCGTTCTTATATGCACATGTAAAATTCATTTCGCAATTTTCTTTCTCTCTCTTATATACATATGCATGTGTTGAAATATGCATATGAAAACAATTTGGAATAAAAATCAGCAAACAAAAAGGATCCGCAAATACGGCGGAATTAAAATTGTGATTATAAATCGAATATCGAATTTTGTATTTTAAAATTAACTGTTAAAAAGATTAAGAGAGATTTTGTAGATCTGTAATTTTTCAAGAAACTTAACGATGATTCATGAAACTAAAGATCAAGAATCTTCAGAATCAAGGATTTGTTTACTACGCGAAACAAGTTTTTCTACGATTTGGTTAATGCAGCAAAAACAAACAAATCCTGACAAATTTTTACCGTATAATGTATAATCGTATAATCGTGTCTGCGATAAGTAAGAAAGTCTCGAGAGTTCTCGCAAGTGAAAGTGTGACAACATGCAGTTCTGATAAATTACCTATTCGCAAAATGTGCACGGCGAATTACGACGCATTTTAGTCTCTAATCGTCTCGACGTTGCTTTTGCGACGTATATATCGGACGTGTATTAAGAAGCTGATGCAAACGAATCTTTTGACAGGAAATTTCGTCACTACGCGAGTCTTCATTTAGTCATAAACTCCACAATCTTTCACACATCCATTGATTCTCGCGAGCGAGCTGTGTCCGTTATCAACCGGCGCGCGCGCAATTAATAAATCGCGGTCTCGACGTCTGACAAGCGCGGTTCATCGGCGCCCGATCACGCATCCGATTTATCTCCGATTCGCGCTACAAGCGTTCGAGACGAGGGGAAGGTGTAGGTCTGGAAAAGTACCGTAACACACACACACACACATTTTCTAACGCGATTATCTTAAAGTCCGCGCGATTCCCCGCTGCTCGGTCGGGTGCAGTTAGTGTTAATGCCTGATAAAAATCTGACCCGGTCAGCAGTGATTCTCATTCGCCTTAACCCAGTTCGCATAGGCCAGATGGGCCGCGGACCGATCTGTGCCATGATTACGAACGCGCAAATCCGTGCCGGTAACAATACAACCGGTGCAATGCCAGTGCCAGCGTGATCACCTACTGTTGCCACCAACATTGAATGATATCGCGACTCGCGTTTCGATGATCGTCGTTATTGATGACGAAATCGCGGAAATCGTTCGCACGATTTCAGAACGTACGTAAATTCCAAAGCGAGAGAGAGAGAGAGAAATAGACCTTTTGATCTAAATTATAATACATTTGCTCTTTTTATTACGTTATTCAAGTAGACTTTACAACATCCCGTTAACATTAACGCGCGCAGATAACGGTATCTTCTTTGTTACATTAAAAATATCGCCTGACGACGTCGTGTCGACATTTGTGTTTTCGAATTGCTGTTGTTTGTAACGATACTCCGAAAAATTTCAAAGAATCGTTTATTGCGATAATGAATATTGCGTCCGCATCACATTTCAATCTTTTAATAAACAGTAAACTGCTGCGGGGAAAAAAAAAATGAATGAAAGGCAGTAACGCGAGATCGAAAGGCCGCGTTAAACGAGCGGAGAAGGGTCGCGGTTGAAAAACTCGCGAGTTGCGTTGCGCCGCGAGTGTTGCGATGCGATAAACCGCGCATAATTTTTCCATGATGCGACAGTATAAAGTCGTTACACGATTTGCATTGGATTAAGGAACTTCTCCTCGCAAAGACGAACGGCGAAGCACGATCCGGATAATGCAATCGCCACGAAAAGGAAGGTATGTATGTGCGATGAACGACGTGCAACGTGACAATGTTCGAAAATAAAATTAACTAAATTCATCATGTCGTTGAAATCCGGATTGTCGAGCAAAAATACATATTTCGCATTCATTGCAAATAGCGACGCAAAAAAATGTTTTTTTTTAATCGCATTACTTTACACAATTACGTCTCGCGCATGTCTTTCATAAGCAAATATGCAATATTCGCAGAAACGAAGTATATGCAAACAAATAAACAAGTTTTGTTTCAAAAAGGACGAAATTGTTACACGTGTCAATAGATATTGACACGATGAAATATATATTCATTTTGTTACAAAAACAAACAACACTCGGAACATCTCCGTTTATTCGATAAACCATCATTACAACGACGCGACACACACGCGGAAACATTGTCGGCGGCTTCTTAAAATTGTAAATTAACAAGATAATGTGTTTGAAAAAGCTTTTTTACATTACCTTGCTTAGATAGAAGCGAGATATATATCTTTTCGCTCGACAAACGTTCGAAACTTCGAACGAGACATAATCTGAAACTCGATACGCGCGAGCCCTAGGTCGACTCGATTTCCCACATTATATATTATATATTTCGCAATGCGTCTTTCGTTTCTTTTTCCTCGAATTATATATTGCGCGTTTTTTTTTTTGTTCTCGATCATCCTTTCCGATTATATTGTCGGCATTTTTCAGACTTTGGACTCTCGGAAAGAATTATTATTACATATTGCGCGAGATATATTACGTATGTAGAAGTAAAGCGGATCCTTGGAACGCGGAATAGTACGAAGTGTAAACGCGATGACGCATATCTAAATAAATTCAACTCAAGAGAGCAATACGGAGATACGCGCTTTTTCACGATAAATTTCCCTGACCGCTCCTTTTTCCGCGATTTGCGCTTTCTTACACGCTGTGTGTTTAACGATCGACGCGACGTGCAAAGAAACGAGACCTGGATAACGTCTGCGTCGTTATGTCATCAATATATCTCAATATTGTCGTGCTAACGAAAGAATGCGTAATTTAAACGGGCGTTGCTAGAGATACGATACCTAAGATGAAGAATACACATTATAGAGGGTTCAACAGACCACGCGAATCCGCTTATTGAGCTTAGACCCGGCTAATTATAGCGACCGGTGATTAATGCGACTCATCGCGTTTGGTCGGTGCTAAATCATTCGGGACACGGCTCGGGATGGGAATGTCGCACGCTAGAACGTTTATTGGAGCATTTCGCAGCGGGTCGCTGAAATTAACATTCGAATTTACTCTTTGTGTGACATGGTAATGTAACGCGATAAGTAATTATCTTCCGTGACCTCGCAAACGTGTGTCCGACACATTCCTCGAATTATCCTGACGTCGTAATTCTATTTAATTTGTTTCCGAGATATTATATGTAGAAAAAGATCTCACTATATTATGAGACCACGCGAACGATCGGTATTACCAGATTTCGCGCGCAAATGTTTTATCTGCAATATATCGTATCGTCGATAAAACACACAAATATGATAAAATATACGAAAATACTGAAAATATTCGAAATCGTTCATTGAGCTTCGTTATCGAAGATTTCGATCTCGAAAAAATAAAACAAACTTTGATCTCTCGTTCGACGCGCGCAGACTTCGATCTCGCGAAGAAGAACTCGTTTCGAGATCCATTCGTCGACTTATCGTTCATTCGTGAGTGTCAAGAATTATCACCGGTACTTGAAGATGTAATATTTTTGCGTGAGTTACCTTTTGAAATACTCGAAAGGTGAGTAAGCAACGACAATTATCGAAACCGATCTACCGATGACTCTTCGACACTTATGTAGATATATATTTATACGCGCTCACAACCTTGATTCGTAAGATGTTTTCGCACGATACGACACGGTCGGCATACGTGTGTCATTGCGATTTAACGGGAAAAATGGCGTGGAACGATTCCGCGCTCGCTCTCTTTCGCTTTAAATGTAGTTAATTATACGGAGACGAATCTCGCGCACGAAGCAATTAATCGCAACTCGAGTCGGATCGATTTTACGCGCATACATATATATGTATATAAATGTCGCTTTTTCGTTCGAATTAACATCTTGCCGTATATCTTAATTTTCCGCGGGAGATCAAGTTGACTTGCGCGTATAGCCTTTCATCGCATAATCATTCCGCTTTGCGCGTTCGATCCCGACGACTATTTTATTTTATTTATTAGTAACGGCTCGCGCATTTTGCCGTTGTGAATCTTAAGGCGCTAAATTCAACGTAGGCGAGAGTGCGTCGAAACGGATATTTCAAGATCACTGATTCGTTGACGGGAGGGCGCACCGAACTAAAAAAATGTCGACCTTGGTCTTGTCGGCGCACGACTAAAGGGATAAGCGCAGAAGCTGACAATGGAACATAAAAATAAAATGTACAAGAGAGAGAGAGAGAGAGAGAAAAAGACAAGCATATACACGGAGAAGAAACCGGACGAATATATATCGTCGAAAATTGTGCGCAAGGTCAAAATGTATTTAATTTTGTCCGAGCAATTAATTCGCACACCATTAACACACATAAACATCTCGGATAAAGTCTCCTTATGCTTACCACAGAAACAAACAAGTTATTTCAATGTATCCTTCTTGAAAAAAAATGATAAAATTCATAAGATTTCTCTTTCAAGCCGACCTTTAACGTTTTCCCGACAGACGTATCGGCGGCGCGTTGCGACACGCGCACGCGAGTGGCTGCGAGCCAACGTCCAAGGTGCTAACGAGAATGTGTGAAAAATAAGCTCCCGTCTCTCTGTCGATATCTGGAATTCGCTAATTGTGAGGGTTTTTTTTTTTAAAGCGCACCGTGTAAAAGCGCTACTGTGTTACGAAACGCTCGAAGAAAGAATAAAGTCTATTCGTTTGTAACGGGAAGATTTTAATGCGCGCGTGGCGAAGGAAACCGGCGCGTATGGATTTCCGTCGCTGCTTATAACAGTATACATAGTTACGGTGTGGGACATGGGAATCTTTTTTTTTTTTTCTTCCTCTTCCAGGAACTGCGACGAATCTCGTGAGAAAACGGACTCACGTCTGTCAGGTGCACAAATTGCATTCTAACTGGCAACAAAAGCGCCTGCGAGTAGTCGCAGATTCCCTGCGGACGCTGTCATGGCGTTGCCGTCTTTTTTTTTTTCGAGCAGATTGGATTTTTTTTACGCACCTGCGCTTCGGAATTTTAGACAGAATTACTCGACAAATTCAAAGAAGTCATTGCATCATTTCTTTTATCAGACGCGCTCTCGAGAGCGCGTCTACGGACGAACTTAGGCGAGAATATATAAGCAAATAGAACCGCAAGTCAAGTGAGTTTCCCGTGAAACACTTTGCTTGAGACACGGTGAGAACTTTGATATCAGACGTAGAAGCGAATGATGTTTCGCGGAATATATATCGCTTTGAAAGCGAATATTCGAGAGAGAACGAGAAGAGAGAGAGAGACAAGCCGGTCAATGATACGTCATAACTACATCGATGTTAAAAATTCGCGTAGAACGGCGGCTATATTCGTTCTTGCGTACCTAGTCCTTTTTCGTTACACAAGAATGATCTAGAATTATCTGCCATACTTTTTCAGAATATCGTCAATCATTATTAGAGAAGAGAAGAAACATGAATAATGCCAGATTTAACTGTTAAAATATTTGAACTCGATATTTAAACCAGTTCTTTTTTTTTTCTCTCTCTCTCTCTCTCTCTCTTTTTTCTTCTTCGTAGCTTTCTTTGTTTGCTAGATTCGACGCACAATAAATGTTTCAAGAACTGGCACACTTTCTCGACGATACCGTTAAAGCGTGAAGAAACGAAAAAAGGTCCGTAAAATTATTCCAAAATTCTAAAGCTATAAATTTTCCGAAAATTTTTGCGTCTCACGCTTTGCAAGAAAAATAATCGGTTCGTTAAAGGAGATATTGTTAAATGGAATTAATAAAAAATTCTCAAGAGGCAAAGAGTTCTGAGATAATCTACAATAATGTAACTTTTTTTTATCGAAACGGATGCTACTAGTGCGAACTGTGACACATGTGTCGCGGTTTACATACGCATTAGAAGGACTTTATTGCTATTAATCGCGTATAATTATCTTAATGGAATAATCAGCAAGTAGGAGACACGATAGTGTAGCTCGGAGTTTTTTTTTTTTATAAACAACACCGTGTGTGTTACTCACGCGCGACGTGCAGATACTGTCCGTCGATGTGAATAACGAGGCTGAAAAGAAGATTAACACGAAGTAATAGCAAGCAATGTCGTACATAAACATTTGCTTCACGGCTATCACTAGCGAATTAATCAACGGCTGCGAATCGGCAATAACTCATCGATATCGAGAGAGTTCATCAAAAAATCATCGATACATCGATAACAACGTGGTTGTCATAATTTATGTTAAACTCGCGTTTGTAGTGAAACAAATTCTCATTGATTTAAAAAAATTAATGTATTTTTGACGGTGTATCTCGTAGCGATACACGCAACGTCGTCACGGCGGAGAGAATAAAATTTCGTAATAAAAAAAAAACAAAAAAAAAAAAAAACCACGCGAAGAGAAAAGTGTAAACATCACGGCGACCGTGAAATGGAACATCTCGAACGAGGAAATGAAATTACTCGAAGCGTATCGGCCGACACTCCGGTTTCCCGCGAGGACTCGTAAATCCTCCGACCGGTTTTACGTGCGGGCGTATTATACGTATGTGTATGTGCGCGCGTTCCCGCGATGACAGACGGGACAGTTCTGGTTTTTTTTTTTTTTTTTTTTTTTTGTCCCTATAGCGACGCGAATTCGAAGTAATATATGCACGTCTCAGGGGGGGATCCCCGCGAGAGCGAGATTCGCGTCGTAAATTTTTTTTTTCCCTACCCGACGTAATACACGGAAGTGTACCGAGAGAACATGCGGGTAATATACGACGATAATATACAAGGGGATCGAAGGGAGGGAAAAAGGAGGCGATTGTTGTTCGCGACCGAGGCGGTGAATTAATCAATTTTAATTACGAACCGTCGTCGCATTAGATGCTCTTAAGCGGAAAAGACGCGCGAACGTCAGCTTCACGTGCACAAAAGATGCGCCAGCGTTGGTTTGTTAATGAAATTGATGCAGTTGGAGAAAAAAAAAAACAATTACAAAGATGCGCAACAGACTGACATTAATACTCGGTATAATCTTTGTCACGTCTGCGACTTGGGGGTCGAGGACACTTTTACGTAGTAAATTTACACAACGCTCGTCTCGATCTCGGTGAATCTCGGTGTTCTCTTTAACATACACTTGTCTGTGTGTTCTCGGATATTTTTTTTTTTTTTATACTCCTCCGATAAAATTTCTCGAACAACAATCGTGCAACGTGCATAATCTCTCGAGATTTGCGTTGCAATAAGATTCCGAGAACGCTTTATCCGCGTTTGATAAGATACAAAAATTAGCTCAGGCGATTGTACGATACACGCGTGTACTAACATTAGCTCTAAATATAGACAGACACATATTTCCCTTTCCCCTCTTCGCTTTTTATCCTACACGAGCGATTTTAAACATTTCGTCAATGGCGAAGTCCCGCCAGTTGTTTGCTCATGGTGCCGGTGTCGACTCTCTTGCGAAACATCCGATACACTTGTCGTCCTTCCGTCGCGTTTAACACAATCTCCAACGCGTCACTCTTCTCTCTCTCTCTTTCTCTTTCCGTGAAATTAATTTCCCGTTGTCGATCAAAGTGATTTTTTTTTTTCGCGGAAAATCCTTGCGCTAGAAAGTGCGCGTCCTTGTAAAACTTTCGCGCGAAAATAAACGCTACTTTAGGAGTAACTTTGTTTACCAATGAAGTTTTGTGATTTACTCGACGGTGAGTAAAACGCGTTTCGGGGCAATAAAAAGCGGCGCGCGATTTGGCGGGAGCGCGTTCGTTCTCGCGATATTGCTGTTCTCGCGCGAGAATAGTTTGTTTTCTTTCCATCTTCCGGCTTTTATAGAAGTGGCTGATGCATGTGCGTCGACACACAAGCAGCGGGATAATACCGCAAATAGCGTGTGTAAGGATTTTGGTATGCACGTTCTCGAGAATATTTTCCCCGAGAGTGATTTTTGTTTCTGAATAATAATATAATATATATATGAGAGAAACTTTATATATATTGAAATCGTTTCTCCTTCGGGTTTTGCAATTTATATTTAGCTTTTTATATATCGTCAGATATGTTTTTATTCGGAAACTCGCCACGCGCGACATCACGTGCAATTTTCTTGAGTAGTTCTCCGCATTTTTTTTTTTTTGCTGAACTTTTCTTTGAAATTTACCTTGAACAGAGATCGCGCAGCGACGAAAAGCGCGTATATACACATATACGACACCGATGAAGTCACTTGACGATAATAAAGAATTAATCGATCCTTGCTAATCGATCGCCGCTTCAAAGTGGCGTCTGAAGAGTTTTAAAGAGGGTATCGATGAAACATACACGTCTCTTTCGATAAAATATCGCTTATCATGGTAATTAATATTTGAGTTTGCGGAAAAGAAAACACTTGTTTTTTTGCGGATGCATCTGTGAACTTATCGCGCGCCATTGTGAAAAAAAAAAAAAAAAACAGATCCGATAAGCATTCTCGGAGAGAACGTGTGCAATTCCGAGAACCAAGAACAGAGCCGTGAATCGCGAGAACGATTTCGCGGTTGCATTATACAATAACACTTCTGATTTCTAATTCGAAATAGATCTAAATTTATAATCTTTTATCTCGACCGCCTTGTTTCGCGATTATACGACTCGTAACTGCATTTAATTGAAATAAAATTATGGACTACTTAAATGAAAATAAAGAATCGTGGAAAAATTTCGTCGGAAATCTGTGGGAACTGTTTGTGCGTTCGAGCACACGCGAATTGCATGAGTGATTTTATAAATCCATCGTTTTTTATCTGGTCAAGTGTCAGATAAAGATAAAATATTCTACGCGGAAAGAGTTTATTTTGAATTTATAATCGTGTTTTGTTTCGCGCTGTCCAGCGTGTAGTCTCGATAAGAAATAATACTCTTGTGAAAATACTCTTTCGCACACACAACACACAGAAAGAATAACACGTGTCTCTCTTTTATCTTCAAGGTTTTCAAGTGTGGTACGTGAGGAGATGATGTGAAGAGAGTAGCTGCGATCGGCATCATGTGTTACCCTTGAACCATCGAAATCATCGTCCGCTGATTTTTCACACATTCGGTAAGTAATTAATAATCTCTATCCAATGTTTGTTAATGCAATTTCTGACACAAACTTGCGAAATATCAGAGATCCTCCGACAATAATTTTTCGCGTTTTAGATATCTATCTGTCTACAACAGACTTAATGTTCAGTAACAACAATAAGATTGACAAAAAAATATAATAACAAATTATTTTTTAATGACAAATATATTAAAGACAAACATAATAAGTCGCACATCTGTTGCTTCTCTCGAACAAAGCAAACGCGTCGCGCTAATGCGCATTTGAAACATTCGATTGAATCCGAATCTTATCAAAACCGACTGTACACAGAGGCGTATACCGACCGATCGGTAATACGATCAATTTTTTTTCCGATACTTGTATTTCCGTGCACCCGCATCGCACGTGGTCCGACATGTTGCGGTTCACGTCGACTTCGGCTCACGTGAGTGACACGCTCCCAGGAATGACAATGACATCTGCTTCGGATTCGCTGCCGAGCGAGTTTTGTTGTTATCACGCGTATGCAATCGGCGACAAGCGAATAACGAGCATGGCTTATATGCGGTGTTTAGATTTTCGCGTTCTATTCCCGGCGAACGACGGCACAATGGTTGGCCACCCGACATTGTTCGCACTTGTTCGCGCGGAAACGATTTTGTTCTTTATCGAGTCATGTGCGCGAAAATAGCGCCGTTATGAGAGACGGTGTGTGCATTACGCAGCAAATTCGCATAACCGGCACGCGTGTGTCAGCCTTTTATAGCAACAGCACCAACGTGACGCCGAATCGGTCACGCATACCGCAAGTCGTCGGCGACTTGTCTTCCGGTTGGATACCAATAATCGGAATCGGCAAAAAATATAACACATCTGATGCGATAAAAAAAAATTCAAAGAGGATCGAGATGTGATAATTAAATGTTAAGAATTAAATTTGTACATAAGATGTGAATAAAAAAGAGAGAGAAAGACAATGGGGAAAATTTAGAGAGAAAAGTTCATTGTTCATTAGAGGTGTAATTGAAGATTAGAAAACTAGATTATGTGCAACACAAGAGAGACATCGCTAATAACGCTGCAACTTTTGTTGTTATATCATCGAAACGGATAGTGACGTGAGAATATATAGACGCCTTTTCTCTCTCAAGCTCTTTCGTAATATCCTACAACACACTCGCGAGATCTATAATGGAAGATTTTTACTGCGAGATACATCGCGAGGTACACGATTTCGCTCGATGACACTCGATCGCGCCGGTTATAAAAAATACATGTGATACCGCTTGTATACCAAGCAGACTTCCGCTTTATGTGCGAAGAAAAAAAATATCAGAGGAGTCTGAAATAGACGAGGAAATAAAAGAGCAAGTCGAGAGATCGGACTGCGCACTTATAGTGCGCATTTATTTGCGCAATGACAACGAGCGTCCGTATATACGCGAAATGTTTGTCCGATTCAGCCGTCGCGTTATCGCTCCTCCGTATATACAATAATTCGGGGAGGGTCTGTTTATTTCCACTGACACGTTTGCCTTGTCGCAAGCTCAAGTTCGTGACACGCGTGATAACACACGACACCAGACGATAATTAATCGTTCGACGTTCGCTCGGGATTTACGTCGCGTCGATATAGCGAGGTGTTTTAAGTGACACTTTCTGCCCCCGAGAAGTTTCATCAAACGGAAATAAACGACTGTCCGTTTGTGCGCGAATCGCGCTGATTGATGTCTCCGCGAAACGTTCTCCACCAGCCGAAGTTTGAATCTTCGCCAAATCTTCCCGCGACAATCAAGGTCGATTGCTGCACTACTGATGTAGCGCGGACCGGTTTCCCGCTGGATCTCTTCTCTCATTCTGTTGTTCTTTATCATGAAAAGACATCGTGCTCAGAAATTTTGAAGCTATTCACATTGCGCAAATTCTGTTATGTAGACCGTTCCGTTTTCATTGCTTTCTCTTACAAGACAAAAATAATAGTGACATCATAGGATGTAAACTTGCAATCGCGTGTTTCACGAAAATGAACGATATAACGAGTAACGTCGTTGCAAAATTTCACTCGCGTGGAATTTTTTGAAAATTAACGAAAAAAACCGTTCTTACTCCGACTGCAACGACTATGCATTTTCAAATGGTTAAATAAAATTCTACCGAAAATTATAATGGGTGAGTGCAAAAGTTTTGAGGGAAAAACTTGCGATAGAAAAATTGGACCCAATTATTTTATTAAAAATTTGCATTAATTCTAACAAGTAATCTCTGTTGTTTTCTGCTGATGCACCTGGTAGAATAAATAAATCGTTTTAATGAAATTACTCGATTTATTTTTCCACAACGAAATCCACGAAGAAAGCTATTGCGCTCATCCGATGATCACTTGCGAATTTGAAGACAATGTGATATTTGAAAAGAATCTTGATATCTCGTTGAAAATTACTCGGGCCAGCTAAAAAACGAGCACCTTGAAAATAAACTTTTAAAAAAATGAAACTTTTCATGTGAAGTCAACAGATACGTGAAGAAATACCCACGTCACAAAGATTATTGACACAATCGCGATTCAGATCATTAAAATAACGACAATGGCGTGAATGCGCGAAGAAAAAAGGACCGACCGATAATGTATTAATCGAATAACATATTATTTGACGTCAATGACGGAGAGAAGGCGTCTTGTTGTCGAAACTCATTACATATGATCTTTGAGCTGTTTGCTTCTGCCACCTCGCGTGTCACGGAGGCGAATAAAACCAGCTTTCTTCGTCTCAAATATTGTATTCGCATTATGCGTGAATAAAAAAAAAAAAACTCATCTGGATCTCTCGAGGCTAATCTTGTTTTATCATTTTCAATGGAAAGGCGCGCAACGTGTAATGTCTCGCGAGAAAGAAGAAGAAATTATCTTACCGAGAAACACATACACACGCCACGCTATTTTCGGGAGGCGTTTTCATTACATTAGCCGTATAGCCTTTCAGTCAGTGCGCTTCTCCTTTATTATTCAAGCTATATTTATTCAGACCACGGAGAGCAAATCTGCTATATGCGAGATCGTCAAAACTTTCGAAAGATCGCCTCTTCACGCAAAATACACGAGACGTTTTTTCGAGTCACGTGCACTCGTTTCCTCTTTTTTTTTTTTTTGAATTGTAAAAAGACACCGGTGTGTGATGGTTTCGGCCACAATCACGAATATACTCTTGGGTACGCGAATAATTGGGCAAACGTGTGCTGCGTGTGCACCATGTAGATGTATTTTTACAGCATCATACGTACGGGGAAACCCGTCTAAAAATATAAATGTCGACGGGAACTCCTTAGACCGCATTGAGGTCGCGCCATTTCCTCGCAACAAACATAAATTGACCTATTTTGAGGATGCAATTCCGGCATGCGGTTCTCGAGAAAATAATTCAAGTCGCAATTGAGGAGTTGAACGGAGCAACATCTTGCGCAATTATCTCTGAGAGAGAATTCGATTATGAACGAGTTGAATCTAATTTATCTTTTAAAATTGATATTTAAAAAAAAATATTTGTCTAAAAAAAATCTTAATTAACAAATTCATAATTCTGATAAAAATTTGGCGAATGCAACTGTAAACCAAAAAACGCTTTGCGTTCTGTGTGTTGCAGGTTCATAACTCTTATAATTTATGAATGGATGGAGCTGCGTCGGGCATCATTGGAGGAGGACCGGTTGCGGATCTGGGAGGTCTGGAAAGATGGTGGAACGATCCGGCAATCGCGGCCTGGAGCCTCGTGTTCTTCGGCTGTTTCCTCCTCAATGCGACTCTTTTGCTCGCGTTTCTCGTGCGGCCGGGTCTGCGCACTATTTCCAACAGGTTAGTGAACCGTGTTTCGAGACAGCGCGGTCGAGACAGACTTTTGAAAGAAACATGTCACATCTCCCTCTTTAGTTTTTTTTTGCCACATTTTACAATTTCTTAAAATCATTTTATAATTTCGTGAAATCGAGTTCAACATGGTACATCCCTTTTTTTTTTTTTAGATTTTCCCTCATTTTATGTTTGATAGTAGCGGGATATAGCAAGCGTCAAAAAGATTTTGTATGTGACGTTTCTCGTGCGTGCGACAGGAAAAGGAGTAATAGATAAACAATGTCGTTGACGCATGTAGTTACAAACGTAGGGTCGCGTTATCGCACCGCTTATCGTTATGCTCCGCTAATCACGACGCCAAGCATCACGACGTCGGTCTTGAAACGAGTAAAATGAAATTTTCGAAATTCGTTAACGTCGACCCGTTGACGCACGCGAGCTTTCTTGCGAACGTTGGTTTGGTTACAGCTACAAGATATATATATATATATATACATATATGAGAGAGGACAGACACACACACGTTCGCAATCTATTGCAGAACTCGTCGGTTGGTGCCAAAGCGGAAATAAAACGCACGCGCCACGATGACGAGTGGGAATAATAACAATATATTTGCGCGTTGTCAGATTCGCGTAATATTCATTGAGACGCCATGGCAGTAAATAATATTTAAGCATGTCGTTTGTGTCGTGCGCGTGTTGCGCTCGTGCCAAGGTTAACGATCTCTTATACATTGACAACGTTTGCATTTTTGTTTTCGCCGAAATACTGAGTCAACACCTTATTGAGCCTTTGCAAGGCTCCAGATTGTTATTAATAAAACAAAACGAAATACACAACGCGTGCGAAAAATGAAGTAACGCGCGATGATGAAAATACGAAATAACGCGATAAATATTGCGACGGTTGAAAATTTATACGCAAAATGATTACTCGCGATCCATTTCATACATCCGCAACTTGGCACAAAAAATAGAAACAAATATATTTTAAGAATATTTTAAAAAATTTCATATATCGTTTGATCGATTAAAAAAAAGATACATTTAATAAAACTTAATTAAAATTGAAATAATTTACAATTTTTAATTATACAGGGATTTAATAACGCGCGTTTCTAGATTATTATTATTTGTATTTTTCTAGATTACAAATATATTATTATTTTAAATGTCACGTTGTGCGCATGAAATTATGGTTCTGCCAAAATTGTGAAAGTTGTCACTCGCTAAGAACTTTGGCAGCAGGAAAATTATTTCTGTTCGAGCGCACACGTCCTATGCGTGTCCTTCCGCGGATTCACACATATGCACATTTTCCATCGTGCTCGTAAACAAAATCGCGTTTGAAGTCTCGTTTCTATAGATCGCTCGCGTCTCGTGTTCCTCGTGGGACACTGCCAGTTTAAATATTTCAATGTATGATTTCGTCTTGTTGTTGTGGGCGACGTAGCTGCATCCTTCGCGCGGTTTCCATTAGAACTTATAGCTAAACTGACTCAAAGCTTATTTGTAGATAATATAAAAATAATCGCAGCACATGTGTAAAAGCAAAAGAACGATCGTCATATTAGCGAAGGTAGCAGATCGTTTATATAATAAAATAACGCGAATAAAATGCCGCGGACATATTTTATTTAAATCTATAACTATATTTTTTTTTACACTGTATTATTATGTTATATTGTTTTATGCTAATGTTGTATAGAATTGCAAATAACATTCTTTTGCGTTCGGAGACAAATGCAATATCGGAGATACACTTTGTTCGCAGTGTTTGAAAATTAATTAGACCGCGCAACTATCTTGCGCGCAGGCAAACACTTGCCGTTGATATTAGCAGTTGTATTAATAGACCCCGTGCCACAAGGACTGGGTTTATCATTGTTGTTATTACGTAGACTTCCACCTGCTGAGCCAGGAAATCAATTACGCGCCGAGTATCAAACTTTGGCAAAACTGTGTTGCACCATGGTGTAATAATAAACTTTCGTATATTTTGGGAAGAGAAATATCTCGTTTTAATAGTGTATTCCAAACGGTTCTTTTTGCCAAGCCGCTAAAATAAAAAAAAATAAAAAAAAAATCAATTTTACTAATTATTCTGATTCGTTCGACGTTTTGCAAAATCGCGCGAAACGCGACGTTTTAAATTTAGACTTAAATGAGAGGCGCAGCGTCGAAGCAATTTTCACGGTTGAGTGGATCCATCCGTCAATTTGTCGACAGCGACCAAAGTGAAACGGAACACTGCGCGTCCTTTAAATATCGACGTTCTTCGGGCAAATTTGTTACGTCAACGAAAATCGCGAAGACAATCAGCGAGAAGTAAAAGCGTTGCGCGAACAATTTGATATATATACTCACACAGACAAAACGTCCATTAGACGTATACTGGAACGTCTACAATTTTTCACGTGACGTACAAAGAAACATCTGATGAAAACTTATATAAAATGTTGTTTTGTGCGGATAATTCGCGGTACTGATGGTCGCTTTTTTCATAAATAAAAAAATTTGTAATCACACACGACAAAGAGAAGATATTAATATGCCGCTGGTGTAATTTACAAAGTAATTTTGTTGTTTTTTTTTCTTCTTTTAATTATATATTAGCTTCTAGAGGTTTTCTATATCCCTTGTGGTTTATACTTTTTGCCAGAAACGAGTTAGCAATATACTTCGTTTCTAGCAAAAAGTGACGTAAAAGTCGTATTATAATTCAAGATTGGCACGTGCAACATGAAGAAGATAAATATAGGCATGGCAAAATAAAATAGTACCTTATCCTCTTTCTCTTCTTTATCTCATTGTTTCTTATTTAAATTTATTTTAATGAATTTGGGTTTATGTACGTAAGTCATTTATCATTCGCATCATTTGCAATTGAAAACCAACATAATGAGTTCTAAAATAAATCCACGTGTTAATTTAAGGTGATTTTTTTTTTATCTCAATTTTCAGATTCGTGATGAACCTAACCGTCTCGAATTTACTTACTTGCGCCGTGCTGAATCCCCTGCTGATGATGGACGGTCCAGCGATAGGCGACACGGTGACGATGTCCGCGTCGGCGCTAGACAATGCCGCGTCCTCGCTCGGCTCGACGTCAACAACATCCACGTCGACCGTCAGCAACATATGCGCGATATCGGAAGGTGCCACGGCGCTCGTAACGACATCGTCGATACTCTCGGTTCTGCTTATCGCCATTGACCAATACTTCGCTGTGGTCGATCCGCTTCGTTATCGGACCCGGGTCGACAAGCTCAAATCGGCCGTGCTGATTGTATCCGTCTGGCTGGTTTCGGCTGCGTTCAGTCTTATCGCCGCATTGAATCCGAATCCGCGCAGTCTTTGGCTGTCCTGCAGAACGGCGTCATTGTTTCTGGACAATTCGTCCTTTCGCGAACAGATCGTGCTGAACACGACGACGTCGGACGTCTCTTCGTTTGACTCGGCGTTCTCGCTCTTCGGCAACGAGACGAAGGAAGAAGAAATGGATGCTGAGACGACTACGTTATTCAAGACAATGGAGTCGATCAAAATCGATCGTAGCATTGGTCTCTACGAGAACTCAACTGTGATTTTTCGCTCTTTGACGAACAACTCGGTCATTTACGGACTCATTTATGTAGTGGTGCATAGCGTGCTAGCGTATCTGCTCCCGTTCGCTGGAATCTGTTGGATCTACATCAGAATATATTCGGCCGCGCACCGAAACTCGCAGAGAACTCGCAGGACCGGTTCGCGACCGATTCTTTCGTCGGCCAGTTTCTGCGAGGATTCGTCGTACGGTTGCGCGAGATCGCAGCAACAACAGTCCACTCCTCCCGATGGGTTTTCCGAGGAATTTCGCAGAATACCCAAGATCTCGAGTCTCTCGTCCATCGACGAGACCAGCGAGACGACGCACTCGGCCAATCAGACGTCGCGACGAAGATCCTTCTCGTCGGTTTCGGACGTTCCGCAATCGGGACCGAACGACGAGAAGATCTTGTCGGGAGTTGTCTTCACGGTCGGTTTGCAACCGATGGAAGTCTTACCTTCAAACGAACAAGACGATAACACTTTGACCGAGGCGGAGGAACTCAAGACCGAGCTTCTCGAGGACGATCATAGAGTTTCGTCTTATAATGATCTCACGAGCCAGATGCACGATCTAAGATCGGACCAAAGACGATCGTCCTCGCACGATCTAATAGATCAACCGGCAGAGTCTTCCAGATGGATCGCCGGAGACACGAGCGATTCCGAGTCTGAGGACGAGCAACGCTACGGTTACTTCGATTCCTTGAAAGTTCCTACTAGAACCACTGGTAAGATCACCGACCGAAGATCTTCCGACTATCTCTTGTCACTTGCCGTTTGCAAGACGACGGAAAAAACGTGCGAAGACGCGGAAAGTTCAAAATTAAAAAATACTTCCGAGATGACGACTCGTTCTGTTGACGAAGAGGAAAATTCTGTCGCAGTTAAAACGACAGAGCGAGAACAAATACAGAATGAAGTTCCGAATTCCAGTGGTAATTTGGAGAACAAAAGATCGAGGAGACCCGGCCGACGTTTGTCGAGATCCGGCATTTCGGACGGCAACGGAGAATTGCACACGATCGTGAAGAATGCGGAGAATATTGGAAACAACAATTTAGAACCCTCGTCCTGCCTGCTAACACCGATAGTGACGATCACGCCGGCGCCGCCTGGCAAGCCGGGTCTGCATCGGGTAGCCAGCACTCGCAGCACGTGCAGCTACATCAATTCGCTGAAGCACAGAATTAGCAACGGCTCGTTGTTTAGATATCGCGAGGAGACTCGAGCGGCCAGAGTGAGCGCGCTGGTGATTGTGATGGGTCTCATCTGCTGGTCGCCGTATGTTCTGCTGAGTGTGATCAAAAATCTACCGCAGTGCTCGGACTATGAGTTCCCGCACGAATACGACGTGCTCGCGCTGAGCTTTCTGATTCTGGCCGCTTACGCGAGCCCGTTGCTCTTCGGTTATCGATCTAGACGAGTGAAACGGGAGTTGCGCAAGTTCTTCTGCTTTCATCGCGAGCTCTCGTACAAGAACAATCGCAGTCTGATGGCGAAGAAGGTTCTGAAGCGACGGCACAGCAACACTCTGAGTCATTTGGAGATGGATCATCGGTACAACATTTTCAACTGCGTGTACGGCAGAAACAGGTGGCCCAAGGAGAAGGTGCAGTTCGTGCAAGTACCGGACACCGCGCTCGCGGTCGAGACCTGCAGAAGTAGTTTCTCCAGCGGCGCCAGCACGCAGATCTCCAGCACGTCCACGGAAGAATGTTGAATCGCGATGGGCCTCGCGACATTGCGCGGAATTGTCGTGATCGCGAGAGAACTGGTTCCTCCGAAGATCGATGTCGTGAGAGATGAAAATCACGAACGATGCGAGAGACTGCGTGAATTGATTCTGCGTTTGTGCGCGTGGTACAGACTCACCGATAGACTGCGCCTTCGCGCGATCAAGACAATAACGAAATAAATGACGTGGCCGGATGAGAGGGCGATTTTGCTGTTTGTGTATATTTTCATCGCTGCGCGATTCTGCGAGCCCCCCTGGCGTATTTGCGCGGCTTGTCAACAATTCTTAGGTAGTGTTCGAAAATACGTCGCCTTTTATTTTTGAACACATTGCCGCCTGCGTGAGAGACCGAGTGACGCGAGTCATCAGCAATTTTTGGTGTTTATCGCTCGACGGTGCGCGTCTTCTTCGCGCGCGCTCCTTGAATTCAACCGAAATGCGTGCGAATTCAATTGTCACCTTTTCTTCCGAGATGACACACTTTTTCTTATTTCACACTTAAGTATATGTACATAAATAAAGTCTGATCCTGCGAGATATAAACTTACGCGGACGCGCAATTGCGAGACAGACGTGCGAGATCGTGTTCGACGCGAATCGTGTTCGACCGATCTCGCGGAGCCGGTTGTTTTGAAAACTTTGCGAGTATCTGTGGAAACCACGCGAAAAGTCGTAAAGCGACACAGAAAGACACGCTCGCCACGTCTCTTGCATCGCAATCAAAATAAACGGCTTCCTTCTGCTTCCATCCGCGCCCGGCGATATATCTTAGTATTAAGAGCCTTATTGTGCGCTATGCTATATACGTCGGGTGTTAGCCGGCTCGAGAAGTATTAGAGTTCGCCGAACCCGAAGAGGAGGCTTTAGTCTTTACGCTTATTTACGCATCGCGTATACTCTTCCTCTCTTTCCCCGCGCGCTCGCGCACCGACGTAATTGCACCGGTCGTCAGCAGCATCATCTGGGAGATGGATCAGACGCACGCAAGTAGATTAATCGGTGCAAGCGGCGTGCACCTTCAAGCGGCTATTTATTTTGCAGAATATATGCCCGCGCATACACGAGCGTGTCATTGCACGGCCGTGCGTGTATTAGTTATGTATGTACACAGCATTTTCATGACAGAAACCTCCTCATATCGAGGGAGGGATTAAGGTCTTTGTGCTATCCGCCGAGAACACCGCGCTTCTGGATTTTATTAATTTTTGTATATTACAAATAGAAACTTGTTTATTTATATTAAATAATTTGTACATAGAAAGAGAGTGAGAGAGAACGCGCGGAGAATCTCACAATTACTAGTTCGTATCCTGTATGTAGAGTTTTACTCGTGTTTTGTGTGTGTGTGTGTGTGTGTGTAGATATTTGTCACTGTGTTTTTAAAACTGGTACGTACGAATACATGTGTAAAGTATATATGTATATATATATATATATGTGTGTATATATATATGTGTGTGTGTGTATATATATATATATATGTGTGTATCTCATTACCGTTTTGTATTATCAGGTGAACTCAACAGGCTGTCTATAACATGTGATAACGCCAAAACCAATCGCCACTTAAATAAATTAATTAATTTATGTGACTTTCTCAATAAAAAAACATTTTGAATGCAATTGCCAGGTGATTGTCTACAGGTCATTTTATCTCTTTTAAGGAGCACAATAAGTAAGTAGTATAATTTAAGTTTTTCGTAGATATTTTTGTTAAACACTTTGTGTTTCTTCGATTCCTTCGTATAAAACAAACAAACAGGTCGACACAGTTTACGGAGATTTTTTACAAACGTTTTCGTGAAGAATCTTGCGTAATCCAACGTAGTTGGACGCACGCAAAGAACATTTTTGCAAAACGCGCGTTGTGCAATCGAACAAACAAAAAAAAATTTCTCAATTTCATTTTTGCAGCTCGGTGTAACTGTGAGCGCTCGTGTTATTTTGCAAGTCAACGGCTCGTCGGGGCGCGAGGAACTTTAATAATCTATTTAACGTTAGTCGCAAAACAGATATATATCACATATGATGTGTTCTACCACCTTAAAAACAAAGAGAGACCCGTTTGATTCTCTCTCGCTGCGTCAATTCTCGCGGTGTGCGACCGCAATTTTCTTTGTTCATCAATTTTCAGACGGCATTAAACGGGTTAATGACGCCAGATCCGAAGTCATCATCGGACTTGTGTGTATCGCGAATAACGCAAGCTCGAATTTTATTTTCAACTACCTATCTCTTCCTCGTCGCGGGACAAATTAGTTTCTCTTCTGTCTCATAATCGAGAATGTTCGTAAAGCGGCGGTTGCGCCGGAAACTGCGACAGTACGAATGTTGGCAATTGGCCATCGTCATTAGTAAATGTGCTATTGTCGTAAGCCGGCGGCTGATTCGACGTCTCCACCTCCGCAGGACCGTCCATTAGGAACATCGTCAGGAAGAATATAATAGAACCTACGAACACACAAAGTATTACGTGATGCCATCGACCGACATACACACACACACACACACACATGCGTCTTCCGTAACTAATGATTTCCGCAAGAGAAGTTTTGCCGCTTTTCCCTTGAGAAAAAAAGCATTGAAAAACTACTTTCATGTATGAGACAATACATAATATTTTTATATATAAGAGAAAAACTATATATATATAAGAAAATAATACATGACTCTCTGAAGTAATCAGGAGATGTGTCAAGAGGTAACTTCGCGGGGAAGAAACCGGGGGGGTGCGCTTCTACAAATAAATGGATGACATAAGCGATTGCAAAAAAAAAACTATTGCGCGTACGGGAATCTTATATATTCAAGTTTTACTCACTGATGCCGTAGAAACCAGCGTAGTAAATGTACAACGATTCGCGAAAACCGATCTCCAATCTGGTGGGTTCGACAAGTACCGGCAAGTTGCCGCCGATGTTATTCATGATGAACAAGAAGACGCCGACGGTGGTCGATCGCAGATTCAGAGGAACGATCTCCACGACGACGGCGAACACTATTCCGAACCACATTTCGGCTGCAATTAAAAATCAAATCGGTGATTGTCAAACTTGAGTCTCTCCGTGTTTACAAAAACTACTACTAGCGTACCGAAGAAATAAGACGTTCCCAGCGTGATCATGGCCCAGAGAGGATCAAAGTAAACGGAACCGAATGCGCCTGGTGTCGCGATCAGCTGGCTGATCGCCAGACAAGCTACGCGCGAACGAATTCCCATTTTTGCCACAATCTTGTCGCTAATTGTTCCGCCAACCACAACCCCGATACTGCCGATAACAAATGTGACGGCGAAAAGCGACCAGCCGAGATCGGTGTCCGGAAAATACTCCCTGTAGTACAGATCGCAATTGTAAGCAAAACACAAACCGCCTGAAAAAAAAAAGAGAGAAAGAAAAGACAAATTTCATTTTAATTCCGTAACCGTAAAAGTGAGATTTGAAAAAAGCAAACGGAAAAAGATTGTCATACAAAGATTAGAGGAAAAAAACGAATCGCTCGTAATTGAAGAAGAAAACTTTCGCGAAATTCATTTTTTTCTCGTGTTTCGCAGCATTTTTTTTTTTTTTTTAATAATTTTTTAATTCAAAGGTAAAATTTTGTTCGTTCAAAAACGTGAGTCACATCCGTTCGCGAGCGAATTCGTTTCCTTCTTCGAAGATTTACGGAGATTCGAGTGACATAGTTTAGAGCAATTAGAGTCAGACTAATGAGAAAAAAGAGAATGAGAGTGTGTGTGTGTATGCGTATCGCAGCGAGGTGACTTTGCCGCGATTAGTGTAGACGCTAAATGTACCCTCGATATGTATCTCAATCCTTTTGCGTCAAGGTATTGCCCTTTACCGCAATGTCTGATGCTGGCGGCGACGCACAATAGAACAATGCGCGGTTGCAGTAGCACTTTCCAAACTGATACTTTCTTCCCGTCGCCGGCCGCTTCCTCGCCTGTAGCTTTTCTTTCTGGTTCGGTGAGCGTCAAACCGGTAAGCACGGTGATAATTAAACTGATTATGCCGGCTCCGTAATAACAAGCTCTCCAACCCTGTCGAGAGTGGGCAATTTGTTAATAATCAATTTGCGTTAGTTTTCAATTAACAGAATTTTGTTAATTTACCGCGTTTCACTTGATTTTTCCATATGCGAGAGAATTCACACACAGAGACTCTAAATAAATTTTAGCGTTACAAATTACTCGTCTACATATCGGTAATCGAAAATGTTTCATTTAGCGCGCCGTTTATTTCCAAAATCCGATTTTAATTTGCTCGCGAGTCCTTGATTTATAAATGCTTTTTCTTTTCCGCAAGGAAGTGTGATCTTGAAATCCATGTATGTCGAGTAAGTAGGTAGTTATCTACCGCGGGACGGTATAATACCAATACCTGTGTGTATTGAAAATAAAAACGCGAGAGAAAGAAAAAAATCTGTCACAAAAGAGACAACGACGATATATTCGATCGACGTTTCTGGCTCACCAGATTCCAAATGTTCAGACCGGGCACGTAGCGACCGATCGGAAAAACGATGCCGTAACCGCCGTAAATGCCCCAATTGAAAATGGACATCACAAGACCCCGTTGTTCTTCCGGAAACCAGTCGGACAGAAGACCGGTCGCCAGCGGATTGCATCCCGCCTCTCTGCAATATCCGTTTTTGTTTTTTAGGATTTTATGAAAATAGTCGCGTAATCGTAAATCCATTGTCGTTCGTGAATGAACGGACCGATCGGAAGCGGAAGCGACCGATTGTCGAGACTCACCCTGCCGCGTGGATCATTCGCAGAATAAGTAGCTGCCAGTATTCCGTCACCGCGCCGCTCAGAATGATTGCTATGCTGAACACCAAAGTGCACACCGTCAGCAGCTTCACTCTGAAACGAATAGAATATATATTTGATTCGAAACGAATTGATTGAATTTCGAAAATTTCAATTGAATTAATTCTATGATCACCTGTTGTAACGATCGGCCGCGATGCCCAGCAGAACACCGACGACCGTGTAAACCGCGATAAAGCTGGGTCCGGCCAAGATTTGATAGTCCAGACCGAGGCCGTTGTAATTCCACTCGCAGTAATAGGATCCGTTCAGTTCCAAGGACTGGCAACTGCGAAACGGGACGGAGGAGACACAAAGAGCGTGTGTTAATACGCGAAGACCGAGCAAATGTGCAACGCGATAACAAGCGCGATAATCAATGCGGCGTACACAGAAAGTATTCGAGTTTCATAATCAATTCATGACCGTGAGAATATCGCGCGGAATGGAAATTTGTTCGGAATGAAGAGTTAATTTTCTCTCGCGTATCTATAGAGAGAGAACTCACACGGAATTATTTTTACGGTATTTAACGCGCGGATATTTTACCTCGGAATGTGTTGACAATAGCTCCATCAATCTCGCGAGCGAGAACCGACGACTCATCTCGCGACGACGATCTCGCGCATTTACCATCGCACGTGTGTGGTGTAAACTTGGTGATACTCTGAACATTACGTGTCGCGAGATGAATCAATCTGCCTGCAAGGAAATCGAGTTTGTCTCTCGGAGAAGAAAATACCGGGAGTTAATTGCGTTTACAGTTACGCGCGCAATTCCTCGTCTCTCTCCGCGATAACGTTTTTCCAATTGGAAATCCTTTCCGGAGCAGGTGAATTCGCATTAAAAAGTGAACTTACTCCGTGGAATTTTTCGCATCTTCGCATTTAATCGGAACATCGATCGTCGACAGCGTCGTCGAATTGAACTGGCAAGCGATGTCGCCGTAGTGCAGGTCTTCGGCGATCGCCTTGCTCGTCGCGCCTTTGCAACGGAGAAATTGATACGGTAGTGTTAACAAAATTAAATTACGTTTTTAAAATTAAACATAGCACAATATACAAACAATTATTATGTTCGAAAATATATTATGATTTTTTCACAGTAAATTATAATTGTTCGAGGAACAATCGGTAAATCGATTTAAAAGTGGAGATTTACCTATCAAAAAATGGCCAAGTTCCGCAAGAACATAACCGATTGACACTATAGCTAGCGCGTAAGGCTTGTAGAGAAATTCAACTTTCTGCATCATCGAGTTGAGCATCCTTGATTGATCTGGAAAATGCATGCTTGAGATATATATATATATACATAATGATATAATTATGTATATTTTATACATAAATATATACATAAAGATATATATATATATATATATATATATATATATATATTATATAAAGGATTTTTTCCTTATCATTGTCGTCGCAAGATTATATGTCGAGGAGAATTATATAATTAGCATTATGAGAGATATATAGAAGTCACGCGGTTGTTGCGATGGTTGGCAGACGTGAATACTTAGGAGAAACCGGGGCTATTTGTTCACAATTTACGCTTTTTTCAAATTTACTAAAAAGTTAACAAAGATATTTGGCTGAAATTTTAATGGTATGTACTTTTTAATCTTTTCTTTAAAAAAAAAAACGTATTTAGAATCGTTAACTCTCTTTAACGTTTTAAAGAAAAATGGTTAAAGTCGGCAAGTATACGGGGCCATCTGATCACGCTCAAGGGACTATCTGTCCACATAATAAAAAATAGTTTTTATCTTTTTTTCTAATATTTGTAATAATATTTATTATTAATATTAACAAAAAGTTTGATGGTCGTCGTCGAGATCGGAATAGTAATGTTTTATGCAGACTTTTTGACAGAATTCTTGCATAAAGACAATGTTTGATTTTAAGCTTGTATAAAATCAATTTAGTTAATTTCTTTTGTTTTCTTAATTCTTTTATCTTCTAGTTATTTATTTATTTGTATATATTTATATTTATTCATATATATTACAAGTAAAATATAAAATACCACTAAAGTTTTTCATTAACACAAAATCTTACTTGACGTGTATTTTTGTGATAAAAATTTAATTCAAACGCAGGATCAAGTAGTTGCTCGTATGTTACTTTCTTGCGGTAGCGCGTGTGAGAGGAGGAATTAAGATATAACACTTCTCACATTTGACCACTACATATTGATTAGAAGAATATTGTAAACACTTATTTTAATTTGAGGTATATTATTACCACAAGACAAATTTTTTACTTGTCAAAAAAAGTTAATAAAATTGTGTATGCCGTTTTTTTCAACACATATATCTATAAGAAGTATCGCAAAACAACAATAACTTGTGAAAATAATAAAAAAAACAATAACTTTCTTTTCTAGAGCTTTCTGAACAACATATGAGAACGATAGAGCTATCTACTTATTAACTGTTGAGTTAGCAGCAATATTATAGACAGATAGCCTCGGTCTCCCTTACTTATCAGTTATCGCGTCGTCATTATATTTTTTATCTAATATTCGGATATACTTTGTGTAATGCGCGCGTGCAGTAAATTGCACTGACTTTAATTACAAGATAATTGTGACCACACAGAGAGAGAGAGAGAGAGAGAGATGTCTCGAGTGTGATAAAAAAAAAACCGTTTTATTTTTTTAATATTTTTTTTCTCGAAACTTCTGCCTTGCGTTTTGTCAATTAAAGTAAATTAAAAAATTTACTCTCCAAGTAAATAAATAAATTAAAAAAGTTATAAAAATCAATAAATTAAGTTAATAAATATTAATGTATAAATAACAAACATACTTAAATTATATAATTTATATATATTTCAGATTTTCTTGAATATATGAATACAAATACTTGACACTTAGTTCTTTTGTGCGGTTGCAAGAATGTGTATGCGTTCATCGCCAAAACAAGATGATGAATCGCGTTCGGAAATTGTTATTACAACGCTTCTTTCATTATTCATCACATTCGATAGGTATAGTATTTTCATTTCAATATCCTGGCCGCGAGAGACCAGCGAGTACGTCGATCGGCGCGATACCGGTAATTGCTCAAGGTCTGTGCGTTAGCAATTTACGTGTAATGCACTTGTCACCGTAAGAACGGCGCGCTGATCAATTATAAGGCGCGCAACTTAAGTTGGTTCTGTGTTCTGCGAAACACGTTCACCACTACCGGAACAGTTCGGAACATAAAAAGAAAATCCGAGTTTACTTGAATACGCAAATGTTACGCTTCGCGTAAGGAATAATTGCCGTTCTAGGATCGCGCAAAAAAGATATCTAGACAATGATATTTCAAAACTACCGATATCATTTTGCTGTCGGATTGTGTTTTTCAATTTGTGTCGTTAAATAGTAGCACACATTTAACACAACAAAATTCTAACACATCATTTTTTTTCTTTTTACAATTAATTATATAATTTACTACTAGTACAGTTACGTAATACTGAAAAAAACTCGATGTTACAGTTTTTTTTAAATTATTCCAACACGAATACGGAAGAAGTTCGTTTGGTAGGTTTAGATTCGCGTTTAAAAGATCGATCCGACGGTAAATTTTTGCACGTGTCTCCGACACGTGCGAAACACCTACGCGCAAGAGCGCGCGGTCGTTGTTATAATCATTGCAATTATTACTCATTACAATCATTATTTCGCGTAGAGCATTACGTTTCATCGCGTACGCGCGGTATCGTCTTCGCAGCGGGAGTAACGAATCGTAATTATAAGAGGCAATCGAACGGACGGGAAAAGCTCGTGTCTTTTTGCGTGCATGCGCGCAAGAAGTTTGAAACACACACACGGCCGGATCACCTTGAACCAAACTCATTGAGATGGAACGAAAACTGTCATTTGAATATCTAGTAATCTCTACATCACAATAGTAGCGTCTCGCGTCTTGATCAGAATTCATGAGACAGACCTCTTTTTATTTATTTTTTTTTTTTTAGAGAGAATCGAGTTTCGCAAACCCCATTACATTGTAATTAATGTAATCAGACATTGATTTTTCTTTACAGAGTTTTGCTTCTTACAATCATATCTCAGTCTATATTGTGACTGAGACTTATGACTATATTTAACTTGTTATTATTAGTTGATAAATAATGTAATGTATGAGACGAAGTTGAAGATGACGAAGCTGAAACGAGAACGTGGTGAGACGGCGAAACGAAGGTCGTCACGCTTTATCTGACAAAGCGAACGTGCGGAGAAGACAGAAACAATTTTGATGAAATGACAAAATGATGCGGATGATAAAGAGAGAGAGAGAGAGAGACCAGCCCAGTGGTCTGAGTGCAGAGGCTGCGAGCAGAGAAGTTCCGAGTTCGAATCCACACCTTTTTGAATTTTTCCGGACCGGTCTTTATCGATTGAAAAAAAGAACTGAATTTCGGGGAGGACCTGGTTCTCAGTCATCACAATTTCTGTGTTGCAAAAGACTGCTGCGAATGTTGTCATTGAAGAAAAAAATGGAAATCTGGATATAACCTATTATAGAAGAAGCGAGTGTAAATAATCACAATCGATTCTCTCTCTCGATATTGACTGTCGCCACTTTTATCTCGACGCTGCAGCGACAGGGAGGAGTAAAAAAAAAAAACACCACGTGACTGGTCACGTGTGATTTTATTAGAAAAAAACTAAAAAAGTCGTGTGACGAAAGTAAAGTCACGTGAGAAAAGGAAAAACAACACGTGACTATAAGGTCAAGTGGCTTTACTTTAGTCACGTGTTTTTAAAATTGTGACCAAAAGAGAGTTGGATTTAATCTGGCGTCGTATATCTTCATTTTTTTTTATTTCACCGCTGGGTCGTGTTTCCTAAGTGTTAGGTATATCGCGCGAGAGAAACGCTTGAGGGGAATTTCTCCTTCGATTTCCACAAACCCTCTCCCCCCCCCCCATGATTTTTCATCGAATGCCAAGGTGCAAACTTGGCAATGATATGCCAAGCGCGGCAATAGTGCACAAAATGTGTGTTCGCGTGACGGCGAATTAATCTTTCCGACGACAGTTTCGATCTCAAAGAACGTTTCTGTCGTACAGACAAAGCGGGCCTGTATGTGCGATGTGAATCTGTAATTCGATTCGTCGTAATTACACGCGCGAGCGGCTCGCGACGAGATACACTCGAGCGATACACATAGTTATTTGCCTACATTTAATAGGAATATAATCGATGTCTGTGCGGTAACTTCTGTATCTCTTGGTTTAACTTTTATTGCGTGGAAGAGAGAACGTGAGATATATAGCAGAGTTCGCGCGCGAGTCTGTCGTTACGGCAGCTATGAAAATTGCCACGAGATATAATACCGGGCAAACCGGAAGTTATCGGGTTGGAAGACACAAATACGATTTATGTGTAACGTAATCGTAAGTAATAAAAAAAAAATCCTTGGCCACGCGTACGATAGACAACAGATAAAAGCGCATGAATAAGATCGTAACGAGCTAGTTGTAAAATCATGCGATGTGTTTATCTTTTCCACGGCATCTTTGCCACATTTGGTTTGCAAAATGCCAGTGAAGATGCGGTAACGAAAGATGTTATTGTCGTGAAACGCGAGAGGTGCGCGCGCGCGTGTATTCTTATGCGGAATTAATACGCTATGTGATATAAGTTAATAAAAAAAAGATAACATCGTCACACCGTTGTGACGATGTTATTAATGAGATGCGATATTTTGCTCTTTAATTACTTATTACAAAATAAACTTGCTCTTTGCAACGTATAAACTTATATGCATATTATAATTATATTGCATTAAACTTGCGTGCGTGTTATATAATTACGTTTATAATATTCTCGTGTGCAAATTATTTTTTGAGGCGACACATTGATATAAACATGATTTTTCGATACTTTTTGATTTTCTGTTAATTATGAAGGTCGCGAGATTTTAAAAAATCGCTTGTTTGACCGCATAAGATTTTTATGATAAATTAATTGTCATGATCACATCACGACACAAAGTTAGCAAGCACGGAGATTAAAAATATTGTTTGAGAAACGATAGAACGCAAAAATCACAACGCAAAATACTTGCGTTTTTTTTTTTTCATCAACTCGATTAGTGGCGTGGTGTGTAATCTATTTTGGTTTTATTATGTGAAATTATTGTTGTTACGCTCATTATCGTATTATTGCACAGCGAGTTCTATTGGAAGTTTTGCAATTCTGCAATTACACGGACATATTTATCATTTAATCACCAAGAAAAAAAACATCTATCGTATAGAAAAAACGAACGCTTCAAATTATTTTTATTAAATAAATATTTGCACAAATGCTCGTTTCTAGAAAACACAATTGTGCGAATTGAATCCGCTAATGATCAGCGTTACTCTTTTGGTCAGGATTGATTTAACTTTGAAAATTTACAAGACGATATATATCTCGATTACTTCTCCTTAACGAATTAAAAGACTTCGTCTGACACAGTAATTTATTTATCTCGAAGTTTACATTATTTCCGTGTATAAATATTTATTCTACTACTCCTATAAAGTCGCGTTACCGGTAATTAGCATCGGAACAAATAGAAGAGAGAAAAAAAGCGCGTGCGCGTCAAGGCGGAACGATACATGCTTCCCGCTCGAATAACAAGCGATAATGCGAGAAAAAATATATAATTGCACACGCGATGATTAGAATACGAATCATAAAGTTTGTAAATCTATTCCATTTATTTCTCAAACAATATTTTAATTTATTTTTACCAATTTCTTTAATAATAACGGTTTAATTTATCATAAAAATATTATCCGCAAAATACGTTGCTCTTGTGTCAAAATTTTTATAGAATTATTATGCAAAGTGATTATTGTTTTGATGAAAAACGTGGCTTTGCGGGTGAAGCGTGTGTTCGTGTGTGCTCGTTTTCGATACTGGTATTTATACAATATTGTCCAGAGGAAAGAGAGAGTTCGCGCGCCCTCCGTCCGATCGATTATACGTGTAAAAGCCATTCGGCCGCTTAAGCCATCTCGCTTTTCCCGAGGGGACCTTTCCGTGTTTTTTCCGGCCGATCGGATTTAATGATTTTTTTTTCTCCCCACCGCCGTTCGAGAGATTCCGCGGGGCGATGAACAATGTTGTATACGAGAGTAAGTCTTCTCTAAGTTATACATGCGTAAATATTGTATAACACAGAAAACTCGTGCGCGAGAGAAAGAAAGCTTTGAAAACACTTTTTTTTCGATAAAACTTTGATGAAAATCTGTAAGAAGAGAAATTTTACTTTCAACAACAAACTTGGACGCAAAAGAGCGTCGAGCACAACGAAAGTAGGTGAGTAACGTATTTGTGTTAATGAACACTGAGAGGGACTGTGTGAACACATATATATGTTGTAAACAAATCTATATTAAATTGTCTACAAGTGCGACGTTGTTTTACTATGTACATGTGTAACTGATTCGTACAGCGCGACATTATAAAACGAGCGCAAATCCGACACGGTTATTATACTTTGTGTGTGTGAGCAGAGTTTTTCATTTAGTTATTATTTCTCATATACGAGCTGTTATTTACAGAAAACATCTTTACGACCTAGATTTATCGTTCGCAACCGAATGTGTCATTTCAAACGCGCGGTAAACTCGAGATGCTAACGCAACACAAGAAATGTTGTGTGACGACAATGAGAAACGCGCGAATATTAAAAATAATCAATAACGCGACTATTATACTTTCAAGGAACGCGCGGCCGAGAGAAGAAACCACGCGATTTACCGCGACGTCGAGTCACATTGCGTCGCGCGGGTGTGATCGAGAAACGGTCACGTCGGAGACTTTAATTAAATGCCTGGTTGAAGGCTTCGGAGAGACCGAGTGTGGAAACGTTATGGGCGTAGATCGTGCGTCGACATGCGGGATTGGACGCGGATGTAACAAGCCTCCATTACGTATCCGCTACGCAAATGCGGACACGTAGGCGAAGGTAATATATTCATTTTAATTAATTACCAGATCCAATTAATCGCATCGACGAGTAATTGAGAAGCGGGCTCGAAAAATTCATTCCGATCACACGTCGTGTCAATTACTTCACAAGGAGCTAGTCGTATGTTTTATATTAAATACTATATTTATACCGAGCTTAGTCCTTAGTAGTCGTGCCTTTTTAACAACCTATAATCAAGAGCAAATTATGATTGAAACGAGACGGAAGCACACAGTCTTCCCAGCGGATTATTTTCACATTTAATTTTAGGCTTTAGGGTTTACATCATGCGGTGATTTCGCAAAACGACTCCAGTTTTGACACTGGATCTAATTTCGTGTGTGTTATCGTCTTTTATCGGAGTAATTCTTCTCTCATATTTCTCCCTCTCGCGGACACGTACTCTTTCTTTCTCTCTTTCATCTTTCGATCAATAAATCTTCATTTCTCTCTACTCGGCACTCTTATTACAAAATGTATTTTTAAAACGCAATGATTTTGCCGAAGAAGAATTTATAATAGAAAACATTTTTGTATCGAGATATTAGTGTTTATTCGTTTGTTACATATCATTGTGTCGCATGTGTATTATCGAAGGTGCGCGTATTGTCTTTCTCTCGCACACGTTCACTCGATATACTTTCACCACCGTTTTTTTTTTGTTTTCTCGCATTCAGTCCCAATTGTGCAAATCCGGTCTTGCAAATGCGAACGTTATGCTGAGTGCGACCGTTCTTTAATTACAGCTTTTTCCCTAGTTAAATGCAAAGTGTTGTATATAATTAAATGCTAAATTTCAATACTTAACTTTCACAGTTGAAAGAGTCTGCTCTATACTTCGATACATTTATTAAATCTATCTCGGTTGAAAAAAGAACTGGTTCAAAAATCGTTCGGAGGAAAACCAATATGAGAGTAGAATATTCCATAAAACATGAGCAATTTATCGTTGCCGTCTCGCAAAAAAGTAGCGGCTAGCCCAAATCTCGGACGCAATTGAACGGGACGTAAAAAAAAAGCTTAATGCCTTTGTATATTGAAGTTTTTTTGCGACTGTCCTTTGTCGATTTCTGTCGTAACATAGATTTTGTCTGCCCTCTCTTCGGCGGAGAAGCAGCTCGTAAAGCTACGATCGCTTATATTTTCTTTCCATCGCCTTTCATAAAAATAAAAATAAAAATAAAAAAAAAAAAAAAACGGTAACGAGCAATTTGGCGCAACCGGACCCGCAAATCCTTTTCATCGTGTGACAAACCGCAAAATTACTCACGTGTCCGTTTTCGACGAGGTCCGCAATTGAGATATCCCCCGAACTTCAGAAGAAAGAGATCAGAGGACGTTCACGCACCGCGATCGAACCGCGCGCACAATACGCGGAACAACAGAAGGAAGGAAGATGCAACGTGAGAAAACGGCGAGAGAGCGCGAGAAAAAAAAATCCGATTCCGCGGATCGATCGATCCCTTCGCGTATGGAGGGTGGAGCGTCAAATGAGGCGCGCCGGTGCTCAACCTTCATTTATAAGAAAGTGTCCAAGGATCGAGCCTTCCTTCCGTCAGTAGCGGTTGAGAGCGAGGAAGGGGATAAAGAATAACGTATCTCCTCGATAGTATGTGCGCGCACACATACACACACGACTACTTACATACGACGAGACGGTACTACTCTCGATCTTCGATTTTCAAGGTTGCATCGTGACTTGACCGCTTGCACCTTACTCGTTACATCATTGCATTTAGAAACGGATAACCGCGGAGGAAGAAACGGGGAAACACAACAGCGTTGTTCGCGTTGTGTTGAAACGTGACGAAGAGTCTTCGCTTCAAGTCCGTCCACGCGAAATTAGTAATACAGAAAATATGGTATTACAAACTGTTGCGCAACAATTAACATAATTTTCATTACGTTAATTTTCAAATATTAACACAATCATTGAATAATTGCGAAAGAAAATACGGTCTTGTACTGTCTTTGGTAGATTAATTATTAACGTCCTATAAAAAGTTCCGAATGAAATACTCGTTAATTAATTTTTCGACGAAACAAATCTTGTCTCTATTTAAATATCAGAAACAAATGTTCGATGACATGCAAGTCGCACGCGAAACGGTTCGACGGTTTCTAACTGTCGCTAATTGATCCCAGCTTGAGAAGAGTTTCAGTCTCGACCGGTAGAGCACAATAAGCGGCTCGTTGAGGTGATCAACCCCGCGAGGAGCGACTTGCACATACTTATGTGCACGTAAGCGCACATGCGATCGCGTCGTAACATTGACATACTTCATAATGCCTCTTCGTACGTCCACGGCTGTTAAGTGCGTTGATATGCAATAATAAAAGGTGGTTCGACGTCTCTCCTTGAGAGGCAGGAACAGGACATGCCTATGTTCTATTGTCGCGATTGCGATCGCCAATTAGAGAATGTGATCATCGGACGAGGATTAAAAACGATACTAATTACATATCTCGATTATTCATTGCTCTATTCTTCGTCAAACGCAACGTAAGTATCTTTGCGCGATCTAGATGTTGTATTGTACGAAGAAGAAGTTGCGTCGCTTGTAAAATATTTTGTATTTTTATTGATGTTTTTTTTTTTTGAAATAACATTTTGCAAGTGTATTAATTTAAACTCTTGACCAGAGCTTTCGATTTTAAAAGCGTAGAGGAGCATCCGCGTAAACGGATACAGTTTAAGTTCTTTTTATTGAGCGAAATGTAACGAGTCGCTTAATTAACAGAAGCTTAGAATCGTGACACTTTCAAAGGATCCGTTCCTGACAGTGATCGAACATAGCCACGTCACAATTTGTTTTTTCTGATATACTAGCACAACACAGGCGCGCACGCTAGTATTGCTTTTATTTTAACGTGTAGTGAGTGAACTTAACCTGTCACCACAATGACAGCCAATATATACGTCCTACAAACAATATAATACACATGATGTACATATGAGAGATGTCAGAAATAACGCATGAAAATCAAACTCAAAAAATAAAAGAAAAAAGGGAGAATGGAAAAACAACACGTGACTAAAGTTATGTGACAGGAAGGAGTAGAAAAACACCATGTGACTAAAGTTACGTGACAGGGACAAGAGTAAAACAGAGAATATTATATATATTATATATAATATTCTATATCTATATATAATACACACACACATATTTATATATATACCATAATCACGTGACTAAAGTCAGTGACCTCGCCGCGGTCGCGCGACCGAGGTCAGTGACTCCCCAAGGCCGCGCGGCCGAGGTCAGTGACCCTCCCCCACCAAGGCCGCGCGCCCGGGTCAGTGACCCTCCCCCGCCAAGCCGCGCGGCCGGGTCAGTGACCCCCCCAAGGCCGCGCGGCCGAGGTCAGTGACCCCCCCAAGGCCGCGCGGCCGAGGTCAGTGACCCCCCAAGGCCGCGCGGCCGGGTCAGTGACCCCACCAAGGCCGCGCGGCCGAGGTCAGTGACCTTACTGTAGTATGTAATACTGTTGTATATAATACACATATAATATAATATAATGTATAATATTTTATAAATATATAATAAATTATATAATATATATTATACGGAATATATATTATAATATATATTATACATAAAATAAGACTCGACTCGATCAACCAACTAATCGGCAACGCGGAAAAGAGACAACAATAGATGCGATACATTCGATATCAAAACGCGCACTTCGCGGTACACATGTATTTTTTATATACGAGAAGGATTCATAAAAAGAAAAACAAAAACAAAACAACTTCAGTTCCCGACAATATTAATTAAAAAAAAATAGAATAATTTTACAAAACGCGTGGTGATTTATATTTTATCGAGGCAGATATTGAAAGAGAAAACAAAAATTGCAACTATTAAATTAATTGTTTCAATTATTATTTTAAACACAGAGCGCGCTTACGCAGCTTCTTTCAATTTAATTAAATCTACACCCTGTCGATAGAGAGAGATATCTCGAGCAGAGAGCTTTCAAGTTGGCGCTCGATTCTCCTCCGCTAATCGAACGTGTCAGCCACGCGTGACAGATGCAACAATCGACGTTACCCTCGACGACACGGAATTGAAAGACGCACGCCCGCGGCGCGTGCATAACCGTTGGAAGGCCTGTGCTGGATTCGCGAGCGAAACCTTCGTACCCCCCCGCAAAAGCGCGAATCATTAGTAGCTCGGAGATATACTGATTATGGATCTAATATCATCCTCGCGCGACCCCGACCTGATTTTTGAACAAGCCGCAGGAGATTTCGATGCCAATTAAATTCGAACTCGCTTGTCTTCGTTTCAAATGCGAGTTGTCGTTCAATATAACACCGTATTGCAAAACTTTCGTACATTTAAAAAAAATTTGTTATTAAATGTACGTTTTTTTTTTATGTGAGGTTTAGAGAAAAATTTATTATAATTGTACCGGTAAGATTAAAAAAGTTTATTACTTTTACTTTTTTTGCAATATATATTTTTTCATATTTTGCAGCATTATATATTATCAGTTACATTTATTTTTAAAAATGAGACACGACGAATACGTGCTGCCTGTCGTACTTCGTTGCGGAAACCGACCTCGCAGAACAAACTGTCCAGAGGGATGTTGCGATTATGTTTGTAGCTATTATCGATCATCGCTCGGGATCATTTGCAAATCGATTTGGATCTCGATGACTATTTTGCGCAGAACGATGAGATTTGAAGGGAATTCACACTTGGTAGAAGATTCGGAGCGAGAATTGAAGGAGCGCGCGTTTAGTACGCACTCTCACTATTATCGACCATCAGGAGAGGAGGCCGAGCCGAGCTGACTCGAGCAGAACCGAGCGACACCGAATTCCGTGCGGAGAATCAAGCCGTGTTGCGAGTCGTCCCTTCGTCGGTCTTCCCAGGACCTGGATTCTGTCATCGCGGAGCGCGAATCGGAGATTCCCGGGTAATAACTGTCGATCTCCGGGACAAATTTGCGAAGAAATTGACGGGTGACGAAAAGGAAGAACGCGAAAGGAGAATCCAACAAGCGGAAATGTGAGAATAACGAAGAGTAACACACGCGCGGTGTTTATGTTTCCCCGAAGAAGAAACCATCACTGGACCATCGTCGACTCGCGGAGAAACAAAGAGACGTCAATTAAATCCCCCGCTGGAGATCTCGTTTTATCCGCCGCGACAACCGGTCCGATGATTGATCGCACGTCAGTGATTCCGGCGCGTTCTTTCGGTCGTCGTGTCCTTCGTATATTTCGCGATTCATTCGTGTCAACGTACCGCGCGCGTTTAATAATGGCTCCCCAAGTGTTACAACGCATGATGTATCCGCGCATGATTCATGGCGATTAACTCTCTCTTTCTTTCTTTTTTTCTCTCCCGGTTGTCGTTTCCGACGAACTCTGAGATTTCGCGGATACGCCGTTTCGGAATTCAATTGTTCGTCGGTATTTAATTCGATTTCTCAGACCTCCGAAACGCGCGCGATCGTGCGAATTCTTGCGCCGAACACACTTCCCGAGACCGCCGTCAGCTTCGAGGAAGAAGAGAAAAACAAAAAAAAAAAAAAAAAAGGATCGAGTTCGGATTGAGTTCGAATTGGAGTGACGGCGCGAAATTCGGAAATGCGAACGGTCGCGAGGACGATTCTTCTCGGAATCGCTCTGATAATCGCGCGAGTGCCGCGGAGTGATAATTTGAGCGTCGCGTGTGTCGTCGTCGTCGTCGACGCTTGATTCGCGAGAGATTCGCGCCGCGAATGACGAGGTCCATCGCATCCGAAGTCCGGCACGGAAAAATGAGAGCAACGATCGGTTTCACGTGCAGTGATCATGCCCCATGACGGTCCGCCGTGTGACAACTGGCTGAGTTTTGGCAGCGCCCCGAAGAGGATGGCGATTGTCGATTGTCGGCCGCGCAACGACAATTTAAACGCGAAAAAAACGTAAGCCTTTAGGCTCTAACCGTATTTTTTTTTACGAACCAATCTATATTAATTTTATTGTCGTCGTTGCGTGCGGTTGCTCCGCGTGTAAGATTTTTAAAATCACCTCTGACGATCTCTCCTAAGTCTAAATATACAAGTCGGTCGTATATACGATAAAATGCTTCATCACTTCGTTGTCTTTGAGTTGATTCTCCAATAAGCTACATTATTATCACGTGTAACGTACCGTGAAAGAGATAGATAAATAGCTCTATCTTTTCGATCGGATGGCTCGTGTTGATGTAACTTGCATTCCGCGGCATAGTTGTGGAAATAATATCTAATTAATATTTGAATGCGCGATGTGTCGCGGATCAGAAGTTTTTCTTTTTCTTTTTTTTTTTTTTTAAGTTTTCAACTCCGAGCTCTCAGATTAATTACACCGATAATTAAACTTCAATTCGCTTTAATTCGTTTTTGTTTTCTTCCCCTCACAGATAAACTCGCTAATTAGTTAGTTCGAAAACACAATTTTATTGTCTGCGCTTTTTATTGGCTATCGCGTTCGCACGGAGAGTGGACGTGGTGTTGCGGCTTTTAGTGTTTTTTTTTTTTTTTTTTTTTTGCCTCTCATTTCCAATCGTTGTTGCGCGTTACTCGGGTTCGGTGGCGCAAACCCACGTAATTATCGGCAGCTTTAACGTTACGTGGGCCGACGCGAGAATAATAGCCAAGGTCGAGAGCGCGGACAGTGCTGAAAAACGAAATATCGATTCGCAACGCCGCGTCGCATCGGCCGCATTTTCTCTCCTCCCTGTGACGCCTCGCAACGACGCGAGATGCACATCCGCGTAACAAATATTATCTCGCGCGCGGTGATATTTTATTATTAAGTATCCGCCGCGGATTCTCCAGCGAGAGATCTCTCATGCCGCTCGGCAGGTGTAGTTTTACATGTTGTGAAACTCGCTCGCCTTCAGCTACACCCACGTTACGTCCGGTTTTTTCGATGGATTTCCACATGTTGATTCCGCACGTCGAACCGCACGCGACACACGTGCCGCCGAAGTTACCGAGAGACCCGATAGAAAAGAAAAAAAAGTAAAAAAAAAAAAAAAGAAAGCGAGATCGGATACGTGTGAATGAATATATAAGGATTCACTAAAGTGAAGAAAGAAAAAAAAAAAAGGGGGAGTCAACCCCAAGTCGCACGAGTATATCCGTATAGTTGCCTTAAAACTCGAGAGGTCTACTTTTCTCGTAAGTTCCTCTCAATATAATCGAACTCTTCGATGGACTCAGTGAATGGCCTCTCGACAACGTTTTGTTCTTTAAGAGGAGCACTCGCGGGCACCCGTTCCCGAGTGTTATCTTGGTACAAACCTCGCGGTTTTTGTTCTCTTTTTTTTTTTCTGCATGCTGCGACGTGCATCAGAACAAAATAATATTCTAACAGACTCGTGAGTAAGAATTATTGTTTATCACAACAAACAAATAGGATAAATAATTTGTTGTCTTGTTGCTGATTATTTTCCGCGGATTCGGATTTTTTTTCAATTTTTTTTTTTTTTTTATTCGCGAATACCACGTAAATGTATTCGATTGCGTTAAACAAAATAATCGTTCGTTCAGTCACAAGTTTTAATACGCAGAAATCTGTGAATTAATTAGAATACAAGTCGGCAAGAAACGTTCTATTGGTTCGTTTTTCCATCTTCGATTGTTAGATCACCTCGTGAACGAAGACCACCACGCACGTCACCGAGGAGTGTACCGTGAAGCAAGTGTTCGATATTTGCAGGCGCGCGTTGCGTAAGCGGAGATAATAATCACCGCATTTGCACAAATGGCATCGTGTTTTTTGTTTTGTTTTTTTTTTTTCGATAGATTTATTAGATTGTTAGATCTGTGAAATCTATGTTTGAAAATCGCGAGTAACGCAATTACGGACGCGTTTTCCACACCCGTGTGTATTTGCATTTCCGGTTTTTCAATCGGTCGATCATCGGAGGATCGAGGATTCGCGTCGCGAATTAAACGAAAAATTGTTCGACGAGGCGACATCCAAGGTCGCTTGGCGATGCATTCATTTATTTATACTATCGGCGTACAGTTTTCTCGCGCTCCGTAAAGTTCTCGTTCAAGGCTGGGCGCGCGGGATTTTTATCTAGCTATCCGTCTCTTTTTTTTTTTTTTTTTTTCTTCCATCTTGCAATTAGCACGAATCCCGAGAATCCGTCAATTGAATTATGCAATGCGCGCAACACATTAATGGCAATTTTCTCATTATAGCGAATAACAAGCGCGCGGTGTATTATTTTATCCGTCGGTATCTGATCGATTCGATCAGATTCCAAGTGCTGCAATTCAATCGCGACTAGATTGTCAAAAATTGACAAAAACTGCAATATTAAACAAGTCTAATATATAAGAATATAAATATCTACGTAAAATTTCACTTACACAAAAAATATCCCCCTCCTCATATTGTTTGTTCTGTGCGTCGTACGGAATTCGTTTCTTTTCCACTTTTAGGTGACCAACTCGCAGATGAGAAGAGCGGCGTTCGTGACGACGGCTACTCGATTGCAGTGAGATCGAGCGTGGTGCCCGATCGCGCGTAAAGAGATAACACAAATAATCACGGAGCGACAGCGGCGGAGTTGGAAATAATGGGGTCGTTGCCGAATCTTCACGAGCTGGACAAGGAGAAACTGGGAAGCCCGGTGTTCAAACCGGCGCCGATCGGTTGTCTTGGTCCGATACGATTGCCGCCGCTGCCTCCGCATACGCACAAACGCGGGAAGAGAACCAGCGGCAGCTCGCGAGAAAACGATGCCATGTTGGAGGTAAATTGAGACAAATCTTTCAAGATATAGAGTACAATTGACACAATAGAGAACTTTTTGAAATATCAATAAAATTTATTGCGTGATATCGGGACGATACAAAAAAAAAAAAAAA